GTTTTAAATATATTTTATTTCATCGGGTCAAATAAAATATATTATGTGCTCTTACTCATTATGACATGTATAATGAATATACATTCCCCAACTTTAATTTATAAGCCTCCGAAATTCAGTTCGGGCTGTTATCTGTTAAATTACCAGTACCGGTAATTTGGGCCTCTTTTGACCGATCGGTCAACTCTGGGCCTTCCCATGGCCCAAATGAAATATCCACCAATATATATTTATTATCCAGACCAAGATGAATAAAATATATGGTCTCGGGAATGTCGGGCAGCTCCCACTCCCGGTGTGGGTCCCACGTGCAATTTACTATTCACGCGAAAGAAATAAAAATTTACAACTTCGTAAATTCATTAACCCTTTAATAAGGTTCAATACATTATTTACATAAAAGTAAATATATTTGGGGACGGTGTTACAAGTTCACCCCCCCTTATTTGGGATTTCGTCCCCGAAATCCAAGTATCTAATCGAAAAGAAATGGGTATTGCTCCCTCATTGAGACCTCGGTCTCCCAAGTTTCTTCTTCGACTCGATCACTCCTCCAAAGGACCTTTAACATAGGAATCTCCTTATTCCTAAGCTTCTTCACTTGTTGACCAACAATCTTCACTGGTTCCACCGCATATTGCAAGTCCTCACGGATCTCTACCGGTGGTTTCTCAAGAATATGAGATGGGTCTCGTATGTACTTCTTGAGCATTGATACATGAAACACGTCATGTATCTTCTCAAGTTCAGGCGTCAACTTGAGGCGGTAGGCCACGGCCCCTATCCTTTCAAGGATTTCAAATGGGCCGATGTATCGGGGGTTAAGCTTTCCCCTCGATACAAATCGAATGATGCCCTTCCAAGGAGAAATTCTTAGGAAGACCTCATCACCGACTTCGAACTCCAACGGTCTCCGCCGTTTATCAGCATAACTCTTCTGCCGGTCCTGAGCAGCTTTTAGTCTATCCCGAATGATCCTTACCTTGGCCTTGGTGATCTCAACCAGCTCTATCCCTTCGAGTTTGGCCTCGCCAACCTCGTCCCAACACAACGGTGTTCTGCATTTCCTCCCATACAATGCCTCATATGGGGGCATGCCGATACTTGCTTGATAACTGTTGTTATAAGCAAACTCCACTAGGGCCAAATGCTTGTCCCAACTTCCTTGGAACTCCAGCGCACATGCCCTAAGCATGTCTTCCAAAATCTGTATCACTCGTTCGGACTGTCCATCCGTCTGTGGGTGAAAAGCTGTGCTAAACTTCAGTTTAGTACCCAACGATGCTTGAAATTTTGGCCAAAATCGGGATGTGAATCGTGGATCCCTATCCGAGACAATGGATATTGGGACTCCATGTAGTCTCACAATCTCCTCCGTGTATAGCTTGGCCAATCTTTCAAGAGGATAAGTAATGTTGATAGGCAAAAAGTGTGCACTCTTGGTGAGCCTATCAACCACTACCCATACTGCGTCATAGTTGTTCACTGTTCGTGGTAGCCCCACCACGAAGTCCATGGTCACGTGCTCCCACTTCCACTCCGGGATGGTAAGTGGTTGCAAAAGCCCTGCCGGGTGCTGATGCTCTGCCTTAACTTGCTGGCAAGTAAGGCACCGACTCACATATTCTGCGATGTCTCTCTTCATACCTGACCACCAGTAACTCTCCTTCAAATCTCGGTACATCTTAGTACCTCCTGGATGCATAGCATAAGCTGAAGAATGAGCCTCCTCAAGTATGGACTTCCGGAGGTCTTCATTCTTTGGTATGCATACACGATCCTTAAACAATAATAGACCGTCATCACGTACTCGGAAGTTCTCAACGGGTCCTTCAAGGATCCTTTCACGGATCTTCTGACATTCCTCATCAATGGCCTGACTTCGACTAATCTCGCCCAATAGGGTGGGCCTAACCTCGAATCGAGCAATGAGAGCCCCGCACGTGGACACCTCCACGCGCGCTCTCGATGCCTGTAGGCATGTGAGTAGCGTCCCCGACGTACTCTTTCTGCTCAGTGCGTCGGCCACGACGTTGGCCTTTCCTGGATGGTAATCGATGATCAAGTCATAGTCCTTGATCAACTCCATCCATCTCCTCTGTCTCATATTCAACTCTTTCTGAGTGAATACGTACTTCAAGCTCTTATGGTCTGTAAAAATGTGACATGTCTCCCCGTAGAGATAATGCCTCCAGATTTTCAGTGCAAACACTACCGCCCCCAATTCTAGGTCATGGGTAGGGTAGTTCACCTCGTGCTTTCTCAATTGCCTTGAAGCATAGGCAATCACTTTACCGTTTTGCATCAGTACACATCCAAGCCCTTGGATGCTAGCATCACTGTATATATCATACCCTATCCCTTGTATGGGTAGGGCAAGGACTGGTGCTTCGGTAAGTCGTTTCTTCAGTTCAAGGAACCCTTTCTCACACTTGTCGTCCCATATGAACTTGGCCCCTTTCTTTGTGAGCTTCGTTAATGGAGACGCCAATACAGAAAATTTTTCAACAAATTTACGATAGTATCCTGCTAAGCCAAGGAAACTACGTATCTCTTTCACATCCTTGGGTCTCTCCCAATCCATGATAGCCTTTATCTTGGCGTTATCCACAGCAACGCCCGAACCGGATATGACGTGACCGAGAAAACCAATCTCCTTGAGCCAAAATTCGCATTTAGAGAACTTGGCAAAGAGTTGTTTTTCCCTTAGTCGATCAAGTATAAGCCCCAAGTGATGTTCGTGCTCCTCCTCACTCTTGGAGTATATCAAGATATCATCAATGAATACTATCACAAATTGATCTAAGTATTCACTAAACACCCGGTTCATCAAGTCCATGAATGCTGCCGGTGCATTGGTTAAACCAAATGACATCACAAGAAACTCGTAGTGACCATATCTAGTGCGAAATGCACTCTTAGGTATGTCACTCTCCTTGATCTTCAACTGATGATACCCCGATCTCAAGTCAATCTTCGAGAATACTATGGCCCCTCGAAGTTGATCAAACAAGTCATCAATCCTAGGTAAAGGATACCTGTTCTTGATTGTGACCTTGTTCAACTGTCGGTAGTCGATACACATTCTTAGCGTACCATCTTTCTTCTTTACGAAGAGTACGGGTGCTCCCCACGGTGAATGACTGGGTCTGATGAACCCGTTGTCCAGTAGCTCTTGTAGTTGGACCTTCAACTCTTGAAGTTCGGCCGGTGCCATTCGATAAGGAGGAATCGAAATGGGTTTGGTTCCCGGCTCCACTTCGATTACAAATTCAATCTCTCTATCGGGTGGAAGCCCCGGTAGGTCCTTTGGAAAGACGTCCGGGTACTTGCACACGACTCGAACATCCTTGATGTCGACTTCTTTCTTCGTATCATCCATCACGTAAGCAAGGTATGTGTGGCACCCCTTCCTCATCATCTTCCGTGCTCTCATTACGGATATGATGCAAGCATTGGATTTTCCTCGATCTCCCTCGAAACATACCGTGTTTCCTTGATCATCCTCGAGCTCCAACACCTTGGTGTAGCAATCTACTCGAGCATGGTGTCTCTCGAGCCAATCCATTCCTAGGATTGCGTCGAACTCCAACATGCTTAGAGGTACAAAATCACAAGTCAAGGGTTGACCCGTCACTTCCACCTCACATGATGGATAGTAATGATTTCTCTCCACATCGTCTCCTAACGGTGTGGAGACTAGCAACGTTTGCGTCAAAGGTGTCAATGGCACGTCAAGGCCCTCGGCGAACGCCTCGCTCACAAATGAGCGTTGTGCCCCGGTATCGATGAGGATCCTCGCACACCTACCATTGATCTTTAATGTTCCTACATTTATATATCATGTAAGATACATTTTCTAAGGTTTTTACACATCATTAGGATGTTATTAGGTTCACACTAATGTTTGGAATCAAACGGGGGTCCAAACGTAGAAGAACGGGGCGAAAAAATCAATTTTCGGGTGTTGGGGGTCCACGCACGGCGTGCCTGGGTGGCACGCACGGCGTGCCTGGGTGAAAATCGGAGATCCACCACTGCAGGCTACGCACGATCGTGCGTAGCTGGTCACGCACGATCGTGCGTCCCACGCACGGCGTGCCTGACCTGCACGCACGGCGTGCGTCTGCGCGGAATAAGGCCAGAGGCTACTGCCTCGCACGCACGGTCGTGCGTCTGTGGGTACGCGCGATCGCGCGTAGTTGTTTTTAGCCCGTTTCGCCCCGAATTCGCGGGGTTTGACCCCGGGGTGGCCCGCACCCAAACCCAATGACTTATATGACCCAAATAAGCCTAGAAATACAGGAAAATAAATGTATTACCTGCAACGGAGTCCGGGTTTGCTCGCGCATCCGCCTCGGTCATCGCGTAGACTCGTGCTTGGGTCCCACCTTGGTTGACAGATGCGGCATGGCTTGTGGATGCACCGCCTCTTCCAGTACCGCCGTTTGACGGTCCCGCACGGTTTCTTCCCGTCATGGTCCCTCCCCCGGCTCCCGAGGCACTCTCTTGCATCAATTGAGGGCAATTGGCCTTCATATGGCCCGCATTCCCGCACTTAAAACACCTCGGTGGTTCATTACACTTCCCAAAGTGTTGTTTTGAGCAATTGGGACATCTAGGTGGCCCCGAGTTCTGTGGCCTAGGTCCGTGCCACCTCGCATCCCTGTTCTTCTTTGCCGGTGGGGCCGGCGCCTTGAATGAACCACCGCCACCACCACCACCCCCGTGGTTGTTTCTTCGAGAATGATCGGGTGGTCCCGAATTATTCCACTTCCTCTTCTTCGCCTCTTCGGCGTCCCTTGCTTTCCTCTCATTCCACTGGGCCTCTCCAAGAAGACCCTGTTCCACCACCTCGCTAAATGACATGTGGCGAGAGTATGTAGCTCGGTCGCGGATGTCCAAGAGTAATGCATCCCAGAAGTGCTCCGTCATGCGGTTTTCATCAACCGCGTACTCTGGCAAGAACCTCGCCAAGGTTCTAAACTCTTGTTCCAGCTGCTTAACCGTGCCGCCATCTTTCTGTTTGAGGTTAGTGTACTCTCTCCGTTTCACATTCACCTCGTACTCGGAGTAGTATTGAGCATAGAACTCTAGCTCAAAGTCCGCCCATGTTATTTCCCCATGGTACTTCCCTTCCACACTCTCCCACCACGTAGAGGCTATCCCTTCAAGTAGCCGTGAAGCGACAGTCAACTTTACGTCCGGTGTGATTTGCATGTCTCTTGATGCATCCTTCACCTTCTTAATCCAATCGGCGGCAACGGTAATGTCACCGGTGCCGTCAAAGGACCTACACCCCAAGGCCCTAGCCTCCTTGAGGTACTTGGAGATTCTCACAACAAAACCTCCTTCACGCCCCCCTTGTGACGCCGCTGGGGTGGCCACGGAAGCTCCCCGGCTCCCTTGACCCGAACCACCACGAGAGCCACGCCTCGCTTGGCGCCTAAGGTCTCTCCTCTGTTTCTCCTTTTGATACCACTCAAGTAATTCACCCATTTGGGCGAAGCGGGCATCACTTTCATCATTGTCCTCATCGGTGTATGTGTCACCCCCATCATATGGGGTCTCCTCATGCTCTGTCTCAGGAACATACGTAGAGTCATAGTCCTCGGTGTTGGTTTCATACACCGAGCTTACATGGCCATCACTCACAGTTTGAGCTTGATGACCTCCACGGCTTCCACGGCCTCCACGGCCTCCTCTTGAACCCCGAGATGCAGCCCGGCTTCCCCTTTGGGATGTTACCGGCGCCTGCCCCCTCGGATTGTTCCTGGTCCGCATTCGCCTGCCCTCCATTTCTGAAAGAAATATGGATGAGTCATTAGACTCCTATAAATGTCAATTGACGGAAGAACGTTACAGACACGTATTGGTCTAAGTCACCACCATACCAATTGTTAAGGGTACCGTCTTAACAATTAGAGGCCTTGCAACTTAGGCTCCAATAGTCCCATAACGTCAAAATCCAATGCTCATGGTTTTCGGTAAAAACTCTTTCATAAAATCTCATGTGAGAGGTTGATTATATAGTTTAGAACTGAGATGGCTCTGATACCACTTAATTGTCACGCCCCAGACCGCAATCCGAGCGCGTGTACAACCGCCGCATAATCAAGTGACGTCACCCGCGAGTCAACCTCACTTGATTACACAAGGCGTTCGAGAAAATAATCCATCCATACTCAGTGGTAAACATACATAACAACATCACATTTAAACCAATGAATAGCGGAAATATTCAACGGTAAGTCATAAGCCACAACCGGCCAATATCATGGGCATGCAAGCCCCAAAAGAATAGTTTATGACAATAAAAATATCCATGAGCAATGTTTGGTAATTTGAAATAAAATGAGGAAGCACGAACCACGTCTTCCTTGATTGATGTCACCCGTAGAAAGGTGCAGGTAGCAAGCCCTAGCTTCAACCTGAAAATGGTGGGGCCCCCCGAAGGGGTCAGTACAAGTACCGAGCGAGTAGCAGGCTAAATATAGAATAACTAGCGTTTCAAGTATAAGACCCAAACATAGGATGATACATATACGTATAGTCCTTCCCCCAAGTTTGAAATACATATTAGTATACATACACTTGGAAATACCCGACCCGTAGGTCATTGTTTATTTGGGAAAATAATAGTAGTCAATATCCTTGACTTAAATCCCAACCCACCCATATACCTATGAGTGTATAGAACTCCTCCTTGGTCAAATAAATTATCATAAGGACACCGCCCGGTCCTAGATCATTAAATGTAATCTATGAGTTTTGAGGATACACGCCCGATCCTTGGGTACTCCACCCTATAATTGAGTTTTGAGGATAACCGCCCGATCCTTGGGTACTCCACCCTATATAACCGAGTTTTGAGGATAACCGCCCGATCCTTGGGTACTCCACCCTATATAACCGAGTTTTGAGGATAACCGCCCGATCCTTGGGTACTCCACCCTATATAACCGAGTTTTGAGGATAACCGCCCGATCCTTGGGTACTCCACCCTATATAACCGAGTTTTGAGGATAACCGCCCGATCCTTGGGTACTCCACCCGACCTATGACTTACCACATATCACGCTAGATAGGGTCTATATCATATTTAGTCATTCATAACTAATTCAATACATAAAACTTATGTATCACATTCCATGCAAAGCCATGCAATTATGTAAATGTACAATTAATTAATATCGACCGGTATTAATTAATCCATTATCCACCGGTCAACGTGGTCGTTGACCGCCATTTCAAACCTTGTACAAATCAACTTAATCATCACATAATTAAGTTAAAATATTCATTTGTGCTTCTAATACACTTCAAGCAAATATGCATTCTATATAATTCTTCATATCATATTCTATGCATAAACAATCTATTTCTTTCATACAAACTTAGCCCTATTGGCTAATCACATGTTTAAATATCTTTTAAACATCATTATGAATTCATATAACATTTATTTAGGTAATCTTATAATTAACCCAAAAGTTATAAGATATTAAGCCGTCCACTCACCTTGAACTAGTGTTATGAAGTTCTACCCTTCTTGGTTGAACTCCGGTGAAACTCCGGCGACTTTTGGTCAACTCCGGCGATAATTCCGGCGACTTTTCCAACTTTGTGAAATCACTTGAAATACCCTTTACAAGTGCCTAACAAGGTTTTAACATCATAAAACCTTAATCAATACAAATAACCTATAAAAGGTTATTTTCCGGTGAACCGGTCGTTTGGCTTCTAAGTCCGTTCTTGGACATAGAATCACTTTCCAACCCATAAATCCATACTTATAACATGTGGAACCATATTAAGGGTCCTTAATATGATATATACTTCATATGGTAGAAGAAAATTAAAGGAAAAGTTATAATAAGGTCATTACCTTAATTAATCACACTTTTCCCAACTTTTTCCTTCTTTTATCTTCCTCCTTGGACTCCCTTAGGTTGAGCTCGAATTTTCAGCTATGGGGATGGGTTGCAAAGCTCTTTCCTTCCTCCTTTTGCTTGGTTGGTCGAGCATGATAGATGAAAGAGGGTGGAGAGGTGGTTTTTGTCTCCTTTAGCCAATGAGTGGGTGGAAAGGGGTCCATTACCTTTCAACCATGTTCCTCCCATCCTATCATCCATCCTTCATGTGTCCTTATGGCACCAATTAGTCAACTCTTGCACACAAAAACGTGGGGTGGCCCCCACTCATGTGGGAGGTCATCCCTTTGTGTCCCGGTGTGTACAATTTGTCCCGAAAGTTGTATTTTTCGGGCTGTTTTAAATATATTTTATTTCATCGGGTCAAATAAAATATATTATGTGCTCTTACTCATTATGACATGTATAATGAATATACATTCCCCAACTTTAATTTATAAGCCTCCGAAATTCAGTTCGGGCTGTTATCTGTTAAATTACCAGTACCGGTAATTTGGGCCTCTTTTGACCGATCGGTCAACTCTGGGCCTTCCCATGGCCCAAATGAAATATCCACCAATATATATTTATTATCCAGACCAAGATGAATAAAATATATGGTCTCGGGAATGTCGGGCAGCTCCCACTCCCGGTGTGGGTCCCACGTGCAATTTACTATTCACGCGAAAGAAATAAAAATTTACAACTTCGTAAATTCATTAACCCTTTAATAAGGTTCAATACATTATTTACATAAAAGTAAATATATTTGGGGACGGTGTTACAAGTATGGCGACAAACATTAGAGAACAAGGGTTTCAGACTAAGTAGGAGCAAGACAGAGTACATGGAGTGCAAGTTTGGTGGAGGTAGAAGCAGTGGTAATAGCGGAATTACTTTAGATGGTAAGGAGATACCGGTCAGCGATATGTTCCGTTACTTGGGCTCCATAATTCAGAAGGACGGTGAGTTAGATGGAGATGTATCCCATAGAATCAGAACATGGTGGATGAAGTGGAAGAGTGCGTCAGGATTTCTATGTGATCGAGGTATGCCGACTAGTGTATGTCACGGAGTGTTGGGCGGTGAAACAATGTCACATTCAAAAGATGAGTGTGGCAGAGATGCGCATGCTGCGTTGGATGTGTGGGCATACTAGAAAGGACCGCGTGAAGAATGAGACAATCAGACAAAGGGTGGGAGTAGCATCTATTGAAGATAAGATGCGGGAGTCGTGCCTACGGTGGTTTGTTCATGTGCATAGAAGACCGAGCGATGCACCTGTCAGACGAGTTGAGATGTGTGGAGAAGAGGTAGGGAAGAGAGGGAGAGGGAGGCCCAAACAGACGTGGGTTAGGGGAGTCAGAAGTGATATGCTTCTTCTTGGATTGGATGAGTGTATGGCTTTGGAGAGAGCAAAATGGAGGGCGGGTATTCGTGTGGAGGAGTGATCTTGTATCATCTTTTCCCCTCTTTTTTTTCTTCTTTTTTCTTTTTCTTTTATATTTTTATCCTTATATATAAATATTACTTTATCCTTTTTATTTTATCTTTTATATGTATATTCATCTCTTTTATATTATCCTTTTTTATAATAGCTTATCTTTTTTATCTTTATTTTCTTTCTTTTCCTTTTGGTGATATCATGTATCGATTCATGTTAGCCGACCCCAATATCATTTGGGACTAAGGCTTGGATGTTGTTGTTGTTATTGTATGGTGAACAAAACATCTAGAAGCAGTGCATACTTCTCAAAGTTTTACTTCACACATGAGCGGGTTACTATTTACAGTGGGGTGGTGCACCTTATTGGTTCTCGATATAATTGAGACCTTCCTGATTATGTTCAAAGCAACTACAAGCCTCACTTTCATTTTGTTTCATCCCATGAGAGTTGTGAGATTGTAGCCCCCCCCCCCCCCCCGCACTTTTTAATTGACATGGTTTACTAGCAATGTAATTTTACGCTAGTTGCGATGATTTATTAGCATCGAAGGTTATGTTATTTTATCGTTCAAAGTTAACTTCATCTTTGAAATTAATGTCTTTTTAATGTCTGATACTGACGGTATCTTTCGTACATATTTACTGCCAACTTTAAAATGCATTTAACATGCCTACTATTCCCACATAGTGCTCTTCTTGCTTCTTCCCTTATTCACAAGCCTGTAATTAAAGTTTTCCAATTAATATGCATGTGTAGCAGTTATTTGCACGAAAAGTTTTGAGTTTCGATGACCGCATTAACAAAAAGTTATTTCACCAGTTTATCAAACTCCATTGTTACTTTATAAGCTTTTACATATAGTTGTGGTGTACTTAGTTTAGTTGTAGTTATTTAATGTCGACACTTGTTTTATTAATGACCTACTATTGATTATTTATGGACTTTAGTCCATAATTATATCTGAGTTTACAATGATCACATCATCAAATAAAAAGTAAAAATGAACACTCATTTCTTTGGAAATAAAAAAGATGATATAATATATTGTCATATTTCAAAACCAAATGTAACTACTATGTAATCACGATACTGAATGACCAAAAGAAGAAAGTTTTACATATACTTTTCTTTTCAACAATATAACTATTACATTGCACCTTAGACCACATAGTACTTTTGTATTACAAACTCCTCCACCCGCTTCCTTCGATATGCATACATCAATACCTTTATTGTTTTTTCCTGTACTTATCCAAGTCTTCTTTCAGAACATCTCACTTATTTCTTTGCAGCATTAGAAACTCAACGGACTTTATTACAAATGTACCACAATTTACCTGCAAAATCACGTGTTTTAATATAAAATATAAGCATACATACATATTAGGATTTGTGATTAATATTAAATATCAGCCCAACATGGCCACATAGCTATCATCCTGTTGTGAACAGTTATGCACCATATTGATACAATTTTTCCTATTTTCAATTTTTTCTAAGAACACTTTTTAATAAGAGCCTAAATTCTCCATCACTTTTGATAAGAAAATCTCCTAGCAAAGTGTGAAAGACATCATGTTTGACAGTAAATTCGATCTTTCCAAGTCTTCTTCTTAACTTTTTTACATGATTTTATTTTATTAAAACAAGTAGTTGTCCATTCATCTATTCTAGATTACATATTCCCAGCAATCCATCACATGTGATTTTCTACATTGCTCAAATTGCTCTTCATTTAATAGTAGCCACTTTATGATTTCAAAGACATTATGCACATTGGATTAATAATTCTTTTTTAGCTTCTTTTATGTTATAAGAAAATGATGTGTACAAGATCTTGCAGTTGCCTGACATATTGATAATAATTAGTGTATAAGTACTATACTCATAACGGGACAGAACGATTCAATTCACAAACTCCTATTTAGTTTCTAATGGTACAAGTAATATATTCTCTATGTATAACATCATCGAATTCATACTCCGATTTACATCAAATAAATGAAATGTTAATTGTTGTCAGCATATATGTATGCACAAATTTAATAAAAGGTGTAAAATACTGACTAGCTACTTGAACAAATCATATAAAGTTTATGAATAACCACATCTCGAATCAACATGAATCCTACAAATATGTGGTCCATTAGAGACCTGAGAACGACTGAATATTTATCAGCATATTGCTCTTCATTTGTAGACAATAGACCTGAGAACGACTGAATTGAGAAAAAAAATACTTTTTGCTAATAAAGTCATTGAATAGATTACCTGACCAAATGAAAGCACAATTTCTTTTCCTTCCTCTACTTTATTAGGTCTCTTTGTTCTGAAATCATTGTCAGAGTGTTCTTCCTTTTATTAGTAAGGAACATAATTGTTCTGAAATACTTAGTGCTCTTTGCTTTACCGTTGCGAAGTATAAACATAATGTTCTTTCATTTAAACTAGGTTGCCAAAATCCTTAAAGATTGGCCAACATGGTTTCGTGATTGTTGACCTGTGGAGGCTTAAATGCAATGTCTACTGGTGATGGGGGCACCATTGAGCTTCTATATACATGCATGTTTTTTTTAAGTAAGGAACACTTTCCGCTTTTGGTCCGTGTCTGTGTCACGCAGACAACCGTCGTACAACTCAATAAGAATAACCGTAGTTCACCCTTATAGAATTGCACAAGACGTCCGATAGATACATATGTCAAAACTGGTTAGTAAACATACATAACAACATCAACATACAATTAAACACATAGCGGAATATAAGTGCTTAATAAGAACCCACACAAGGGAAAAACAAGAGTTCACGGGCTCTATTAATTTATAAGTCAAAATAGTTCCATGAGCATTATTTAATTATTTAGAAATAGAACCAGAGGAAGCACGAACCACGTTTTCTCTCCATCAATCTCCCAAACAACTGGTGCAGGAAGTAAGCTCCAACATCAACCTGAAATGGTGGCCCCCCAAGGGTTAGTACTACGAAAAAGTACTGGCGAGAGCAAACTATATGTAACATAACTAACGTTTCTTATGTGAGACCCTCAACATAGGGTGATAGTAAATTTATGGGCATAACTCTTGGCTACCCCTTTTCAAAACATATCGTATACATATAAACATATGAGTAAAATATCCGGCCCATGGGCCCATTTGTCTTTCAAATCATTTAGGCATAACAACCCCATTAAATTCACCCTTCCCATGTCTTACCCTCGGTGGAGTCACCTGTAGGCTAACTCACCCGATATCAAAAGGTAAATACCTGTGGCTGGCCTTTCGAGCTCCCATATCATGGACATGGTTTAAATCAATTCATAGTCCAAAGAAAATATTCTATCGGAAACTCGTGCCAGACCAAACACGTTCATTCATTTAAAATCATTACCCTGAGGTTCACCTACCTCGAGGACTACTCATCCTTGCTATCATAGTTTACATTCTCGGGGCTAACCCCGCCTTGAGGCTTGAGGAATAGACATGCACCCTCATCCTGCGGGTAATTTACTAGAGGTTAACACACCTCAAAGACTACACAGACCCTTGTTACCTATATGCAATTTGATGGAGGTTAACACACCTCAAGGACTGCACTTGCTACTTATGTGTAATTTGTTGGAGGTCAACACACCTCAAGGACTACATGAACCCTTGTTACCTATATGCAATTTGATGGAGGTTAACACATCTCAAGGACTGCAC